GAGAATCATCAGTTTCAAGAAGTGGAAGTGTGGACTAACAAGTACTGTTTTGTGCAACAGAACAGCAGCATTATTTGCCTTTTGTGCAATGGAACAATAGCAGTGCCAAAATAATTCAACCTGAAGCGACATCATGAAAGCCAACACAAGGATTTCCTTTTCCAAGGAACGCAAACGGAAAATCGAATTGTTACGACGATCACTAATCAGCCAACAAAATGTGTTCAAGAAACAATCTGGAGAACTGGATGCGGCTGTTGAAGCCAGCCTAGAAATATCTGCTTTAATAGCCAAGAATGGGAAACCTTTCATGTTATGTTTATTGTCTCGAGGTTACAACCAAAGTGAGCGCTCAGATACCGTTCCCGTGATGCATCAGCAACGATCGCCACCTGGCGGACTCACTAATATTTTACATTTTAACATTTTAATACAATACATATTACATTTCACAGATGGCGATATGATAAAAAAGTGTCTTATCATCGCAAGTGAGATGTGTCCTGAGAAGACAGTGTTTTCAAACAATCAGTCTTAACCACATGACGATACAACAAAGAATCTCGCAAATTGCATCAGACATCGCATTAATCACTTGGAGGTCCGGCCCCCAGTCAATAAACTTAATCCTAATTTGGCCCTTCTTCAAAAAAGGTTGTGCATCCCTGCCTTAGAGGAAAGAAAGAAAGAAAAAGTGTTTTGTATTTAATATCAATTATTTGTTAATTTTGAACTCAGTTTAGTTACACCACAACAAAACAACTTCACATCTATTCACTGGGTAAAACAATTGCTTTAAATATGTATTATATGTATGTATAATCTATTGTTCTCTTATAAACTGCATCTAATTTTATATATTACTTCATATAAACAAATCTGAATGATTCTTGATTTGCCAATGTCCATAGACAGCATAAAAGCTGCTTTTGAGGAGACACGGGTTGTCTTCCAGAGGAAGTAATTTTTCTGTGTCTATAATTGGGCTTATTTTTTAGAGGAGAATTTCAAAACTTTCTCTTGTAAGTCTAAGGTTGTTTAAAATCGGTTGGCTTATAAAAAGGTAGAGTCTCTTCAATAAAAGTTTCTATCTTTTTTATTTTACCTTACTTTTCTTTTTTATTTTTTCATTTTTCTACAATTATATCTATCAATACAATAAAATCATCCTCATCGGTTTCGGAATCAAGTAGTCCTATCTGTAACGTAACATTTAAATAGCAGCTTTGACATTATTATTTGCAGGAAACTGCCATATTTCATGTTAGCGTTCGCATTTACTTTCGAACTGGACATGTAAGCACGAATACACATGCTAATGACGTCACTTCCGGTGTTCGGAAGTAGCACTATTAGCTCAGAAGTAAACGCACCCTATGTCGGATCAGAGTCAAGGCATAGTAACTTCAAAACAAAACAAAAATTAAATAAGTGTGTCAGTGTGCGTCTGTATTCAGGAATTTTCTAATATGACAGATATTCAGTACAGTGGCCTTCTGTAGTGTGACGTATGTATTTCTAATCAATTTTAACCTGTCCTACATTGTTCCCGAAAATATTCGTGTTGACCTCATTGACCTGCGTGGGTGATCCCAAATATTTTCGTGTTTACATCGAAATATTTTTTATACTAGACGTCGCTATGCATCACAATTTTTATATTAAAACGAACTTTTAAAATATAATTTTTTTTTGTTTCTATATTATTCAATATATTTATTTTTTTGTGAAACATAAAAAAATAAGTTTTTATGATACAGTAAACACGATTCTTATTTTAAAAAAAAATTTTAGGCTTAACATCGACAAAAATTCAACATGGCATCACCAGCAACAAATAAAAATTTCAACATCGAATAGGTTAAGGGTCCCCAAAGTGCTGTGCCAGCAAAATAAACACAGACACAATAATACAATAACAAAGTATAAACATTGCATGTACATAGATAAAATAGAACAAGATAACAACAGCACAACCTTATCTGCAACAGCGCAACCTTACTATCACTAAAGATATTTAGATGCCTCTTTTTGAGCTTTCCAAATTCCTTCCTGATATATTGGAGGGCCCAGAGGATGGCCAGAGACTCAGCCTAGTTAACCGTATGATTGTCCATCCTGAAATAATGCTGGTAGTGGAAGTCATTATCACTACTGCAGATGACAATGGACCCACCGACACTGTTGTCTGACCTGGACCAATCTGTATAAATATTTATTCCCTAAGGGGCAGGGTAGTGGTTAAAATGGTGGTATCATCAGCATACCCTTGGGATCATAGTGTTGTTAGGCTGATGATCTTTATACTCAGGAGGCTATTATACAAAATATTCCAAAGACAAGGCCCGGACTTTGAGACCTGAGGGCAGCCCCTATTAATGCTCTTTTGGTAGTATATTTTACCGTTATTTGAGTCCATCACACTCCTATCCTCCAGGTAGCTATTAATGATCTTGTACAAGTTATCTGGACAACCAGATTTTTAAAGCTGGTACAGAATTTCTGGCCACTAGGCATGATCAAAAACCCCTTNGAAAGTCCGTTGTTCGCAGCAAGTCCGTTGCTCGAGTCACGTAACGGTCAAACAGAAAGTCTGTTATTCGAGGCGTACGTTATACGAGGCACCACTGTATTTATTTTGTTTGTGCAACATAAAAAAATAATTTTGAACAATACAGTAAACACAATTATTATTTTTTAAAAAAAATTTTAGGCTTAACATCGATGAAAATTCAACATGGCGTCACAGGCAACAAATAAAAGTTTCAACATTGAATAGATTAATGTTCCCAGTCTTTTATGTAGCTTGTGGTATGACACCTGTAGAGGAGAGAACGACATATCCATCCTTCATAGATGCCTTATTTCCTGGGCGAGTTCTGTGTAATTTCTGATTTTTTCACTGCATATGTTTTGTATATTGTGAGTGTTTGGATATTTCTATAATGTATGTGATTTTATTGTGTTTGTCAATGAGTGTGTTGTCTGGTCAGTTGTGGTAAATTGTTTTATCTGTGATTATGGCTGTTTTAGTACATTTTGTGCGTGTTGTTTTCCAATACTGTCTGTTGAACGTATTTGTAGTATGGTTCGTGGATGCCTAATAATTTGTGTTTCTTTGCAAGCTCTTGGTGTATTATATTTGCTACTTCATTATGTCTGTGTAAATAATCTGTCTGTGCCAAGAGCTTGCAACCAGAAGTGAAGTGTGTTGTATAGTTTCTGGCATAATGTGACATTTTCTGCATGTGTCATTTGTGAGTGTTGTATCTTTGAGTATGTGTTTTCTGTAGTTTTTAGTATTTATGACCTGATCCTGTATGGCAATCATAAATCCTTCCGTCTCCCCAAAGAGGCATCCCCGAGCTAACCAGCTGTTTGACGCAGTTTTGTCAACAAAAAAACTGGGCCAGGTCATAGGGATGTCCGCCATGGAGTGCCTTTCATACTGATGATTGCTTAATGGTGTCTATACTATTTATATGTTATATCATGTCCATATGTTGTGAATGTAAATTTAATGGTGTATTATTTGAGTCTGCTAGAGTTACTGCTTTATGTAACTGTGATGTTTCTTGTTTTTTGTAGAAAAACTCTCGCAACATCTGTATTTGTTTGTAGTGGAGGTTAACTATGATGATCAGACCACATCCGCCATCTTTATGTGGAAGAATTAATCTTTCTATGGCAGATTTAGGATGATGTTGTTTATGCTTAGTAAGTGTTGTTCTTGTTTTCATTTGGAGTTGCTCAAAATCTGTGAGAGTCCAATGTATAACTCCAAAAGAATAAGTGAGTACTGGGACGACATATGTGTTTATTGCTTTAACGTCATCTTATTTCATCAGTGAATGGAATGCAAGCATAAGAAACACAATGACTGATAAAAATATGTAAATAAAACTTGAAATTAATATAATATGTAAAAGTTCACGTCACACCTTTCACCTTATGACAGCACACCGGTTGCGGAACACTCACTGGTTTAGATTAACTATATTTGGTCAATCTTTACCTATGTGCACTGTCATGGTGGTGGTCGCGACTGTTCGCTTTGGTTATGTTAGGTTAGATTAACTATATTTTTAGTAGACTATATTTTGTTCAAGAACTACCGTGAATCAATAACTAGTGACGTTAAACACTCGGCGGCTCCCCTCCGGGAGGAATCAGTCGGAAGCGCCGCCATTTTAGTTACCTAGGTTTACATTAATCTGTTTTATTAAATTATCTTCCAAATATAAATGCAATGATACAAAAGCGACACAAAAGAAAGGCACGTTTTAGAAATGTTTAAGTATTGTTGGATTCTTACCTTAAATATTGCATATCCTGCCGGAGATTCAAACAAAACTAACATCTTGGATCAAAATATAAAAGTCCTTCTCATTCACGTCTAACTTGTAAGTTGGTATTCTACGACTCGAAACTTAATCGCCGCGAAAACTAAACCAATGCGATGCACGTGTTACATGCGAAAGCGTGGGTAAAAACAAAAAAAATCAAACGAAGACAAGTTGCCAGATCGTTTATAGGATTACTCTACCAATTTAAAAAAAACAGCCTAAACATAGCCACTACCAACTCGTATAAATTAAATGATGGTTTTAAAATATTTTTTAAAGTTTTAACTTTTAGTTTGCATATTGAAAAATTATTTTTAATTGAAAATTTTAAATCTAGTTTTTATTATTTTCAAACGATCCCAACATTTTTAATAGTACCTGTTCTGAAATTTAGTAAATTACTGTATTTTGAATACTACGAATATTTCTAATAGCTGAATGGTCGCGATATGGTCGGCGTGTTGCTCTGCCGGATTCAAATTCGAGTTGTTCATTAAAAAATAAAAAAATAAAAAATTTGTATATATATTTTTTAAATAATAAAATATGATAAAAAGATAAAGTGCTTTTTTCCTTAATTAATATGTAAAAAGTTAATGGAATGAATAATTTGTAATGAATATTTTTGAGGCACCCGTAATTGTAAGAGCCGGGCCAAATGGCTCTAAAGGCCCGCCAGTGGCCAAGCGGTCTTTGTTTCGTGGGTTCGCGCCTCGCTCGGATGGGCTGACCACGTGGAGTTTTCCAGGTTTTCTCCACGTCTGTAACGCCTAAATAGGGGCCTGTTTCCCTTAAAAGACCTCCCGGAAGGATCCCCCAAGGCAGATCGCCCAAGTGTTGCGTTGCCATAACTTAACCAACAACAACAACCAAATGGCTCTAAGATAGCGTCTTCATTATTTACTGTATACTATTAGAATCATTACTTTCCTATTTGATTTACTTATTTATATTTTTCTTAAGTTTCATTCCTATTATTTTGCTCCTTAAATTTTAAATTAATTTTTCAAATTCAAACAAACCCCGCGTTTTTTTATGCAGCGAGAGTGTAGCGAAATGACGTCACGAGCAGTATTGGCCAATTAGAAACCAGTTTCAGTGTGTTCGCTTTAAAGCGCTTCTCGAGCGCTGCATAAAAAAACGCGAGGTTAATTTCTAATAATTAATCTCGATACAGGGTGACGTCTTAATCACCTACCTTCATGCCAAATTACTTAGTTTAATTAATTAACAATTAGCTCATTTCTAGCCCGAAAATCATTCGATATGGAGATGTGTTTGAATAAATTTGAGAGATAAGATCGAATAAAAACACTCTATAGAATGAATTTTATGCACTTATATATTTACTTTTTTCAAATATAAGCACAGCATTTACATCGAATATTCAGAATATTATTTAAACATTCATAATTCATCATTATAAATCGATAAAATTATTCATTCACAATAAGCATAAATCTCACCGAAGCTACAGGCTTTCTTTCAACATTTATCTGCTACACTTGCCTTCTTTTTTCGATTAGAAGAGAAGGAAGATCCTTTTTGAAGTGAATATCTGAATGATATAGCCACAGGAAACTTCTTTTTTAACTCTTTCTGCCCTGTGGACATTAAGAAAGCCTCTTTTAGCAGGCCTATTATGGATTCGGCCAGGCCCACAATGGGACGACCGGGTGGGGAGGGACGGGGCCCGACATATCCGAACTGACCACCCCCTGAAAAATTTTTGGAAATTTCTCGACCCGTTCTGATTCGATCCTGGGTCCCCCAGAGCGGTAGGCTGTCACCTTGACTGCTCGGCCATCCGGCCGTCAATATTTTATTTACGGGTTTTCGGGCAAACGTCCCAACACACTCGTTACGCCACAGGATACTAATTAGGATCTATAAATTTACAAAGTAAAGTAGTTTTTTATATAAAAAAACAAGTCTTAAATAAATATCATTATACTAACTTGATAAATCCTCATAAAGATAGAAAAACCGCTTGTTTTGAGGATTATAATACGTTTCATTGCAAATTACATTGAATACAGTACTTCCGATAATTCGGAGCCACGTTCTTGTATTCCAGTAGCATGCAGTGACATTTGATTATAAGGAAGCTGTGTTTCCATAAAAAAATTTTAAACAAATACTAAAAATAAACAATTTATTTATTTTAATTCTAAAATAGATACATTAACACGAAACAAAACATAAAAACTTGTTTTTGTTATTTTTTATAAACTTACTCTATTCGGCAATCTTTTTCCGCAAAGTCGTCAATTACTTTATTAACGAACGATCTGTATATGATAAAACAGTGATTGAACGATAATGTTAAATAATTTGGTCAATATTGAAATAATAAGCTTTTCTTCAGAAACAAACTACAGTACCTCCATGAATTTGTCCAAAGTTGATAAGGACCGATATTTGGCCCTCTTCATCTTCCTAATGATATAAATTCTCAAGAAATTCAAATTATTGAAGAAAGACCCAGTATAAAAGAAATTTATACAGATAAGGGTTAATTTGAACAAAACCTAGCCCACTAGTGGCCAAGCAGTCTTCTTACCCTGAATGCTGGGAGTTCGGTTGTGGCTTCGCACCCCGCTTGAACAGGCTGGACACATGGTTTTCTTCACGTGTGTAACGTCTAAAAAGGGGATAGTTTCCTTTTCCAAGACTTCCCGAAAGGCATCGCCCAAGTGTTGTATTGCCGTAACTTAACAAACAAACATCGAATAAACCCTAAATAATGGTTATGTGAGTTACTTTATTTATATAGCAAATCAGCCACAATTGTTACCTTATCCTTTATTAAGTCGGCCATCGTGAAAAGCGTCCTTTCAACAGAAACGTTTCTTTTTTTTCTACAAAACCTGACGTTAGATCGTTCAACGAAAAAACTCGGCGGTGATGTAAGTGTTGAATTTAAAAATGTACAGTATGTACCATATTCTAGCTCGTTGTGTATGACCAACTCTTATAAAGGCTCTCTAATCGCTGGCTGATATCAGCGTTGAATCACGGTTGTGTAGACACTGATTCATTATCAGGTTATACCGACTATTATTAGCATGACTTTTTTTTTTAAACTGATAACATCCTAACGAGGATATGTCTATTCAATGTTTGCAGGCTATATAATAACGTTTTTAACATTAGAAAAGCAATTATCTCTCTTTCTGAAACAAAAAAAAGGCATATCTGTATAGCAAAGTTAAAATTTTTATTTCATTTAATGATTAAACTATACAAACGTCCGATGCGAAGCGAAAGTTACGTTATTTCAATACAAAACTTTTCCCTGAAAGCAATAGATGACCGGCGCGACTCTATTGTTAAAGGAAAAGTGTGATGTACCGGGACAAGCCATTACTAATAATTTGACGTGGAGAGCATATATTTTAAATTACAAAAATTAAAAGTATGATTATAATTGCATCCAGGTATTGTGACGATGTCACAATAAATAATTGCTAGATCTCTAGTTTACTTGTTACTAGCATTTATAACTTTTTTTTTTTTTTCATACCCTTAAAATTAAACCTTTTGCCATTTTATAATAATTAAAAATATGAAAAATTTATATAACAAAATCTCATAACAGATGGCGCCACACACAATTTTATTTATTATAATGTAATTAAAAATATAAAAGTTATTGTGGCGTAGTAAACACTAGTATTGTGTTTTATTCCAAAGACACATGGCAAATTTTCCATCAAATTCCTTTAGATATCGCAGTACAGTAGTACTATTTCACAACACGCCAAGGAAGAGAGGAAGGAACAATTAAATAATCAAAATTATAAAGGATTAAGAAAAATATATAAAAATGGGGAATATCGCACTTCTGACAATCGCTGCAAGTGTGTGGGCTAAATTTGGAGAATCCGCGCTTCTCGCATGGACAACTGTATGTGGCCGGGTCATGCGTCGGAAAACCTGATTTATTCGTGTACGCACCAGACGGAAAAACAAAAAATATAGTGTATCCACAAACACTCCAATAAATGAATAGAATTGAAACGACACTTTGAAATGTTTTCCCGATGAAAATGAATAATAATAATAAGTTTCAATAAAAATGATAAAATATAAATTGAATTTTATCATAACGAGTTTGCTTGAATTTCGTTTCTTCTGAGATCGCAGCAATGCGCGACGGGTAAGCTAGTTATATATATGTTACCGCTAAAGCTCGAAAATCGTTAATCTGCAGATTACCTAGCAAATCTGCAGATTAACTAGCGTGATCCGTTAAAGTTGCTAAAATTGTTCTATTTCTCAAATTACCTACTAGGTACACGGTAAAGTGAAAATAAGATCTTTGCTGGAACAACAGCAACGTTTCTGTACGCTTAAATTAACATAATGTTCTTTAATTTAATTTTCGATATCTAAAGAATCAAGTTAATACAATCAAACAATCAACAAATTAGTTGATAGAATCAATCATTAACCAATTAAAAAACATACAAAAAATCAAACGGTTTAAAATATTAATACAATTAGGGAAATTATTATACAGATAACCCCCTATAGAATTTCGGGATTTTGAGTATCTATCTGAACTGAGGGGACCGAGACGACTTCAACGATACCCTACTTTTGGACCGGAGACGAAAAATAATAAAGTTATCATACTTTTTCTGGTGATCGCATGATATAATTGTGCAGTTAATGTTACC